GAGAGAAAACCTTACTGTGGTTAATTGTATTACTTTATCAAAGATTATGGCACTACAAAACATATTATGTAAACATTTTCCCAGTTATAAATAAAAAATCAACCAAACACGATGTGCTAATTCGTTTAAATTTGGAAACATCAAACGTACTTGCCAATTCGAATAAAACCTTTGTAACCAAATCACAAAAAGTACAGTCGTGAAAAAAAGTAATTCCATTTTTACAAATTAGATCTCGATTGTCCACCTTTGTGAAACATTTCAATACCAATACTTTTTAAAATACAGTGATTAAATGGACAAACGGAATATTAATCAGAACGAATGTCCACTACTGTACCTACGTATATACACGAAATAGGCGTGAAATAGTGCATTCAACTTTTTTTCTTCCGCTTTCCTATTTGTTTTAGAGAGAGAATAACGAATTACGTACGTAGACGTCAAGCTTTGTGCCGAAATAAACGAGAAAATAAAATAGTGATGCACGGGAATCAATTTTCTCGTTAAAAACATCGAGGCAGTTTTATGTTTGGTAGTAATTTGATTAAAGTAAAAAATATTTTTATTTTTTCAACGGTTATGAACGTTACATGCAGTTCTTGCGGCTTAGCCCAATTTCAATATAAAACATTAATTCATTGTTGATGCAAAATTTAGGTGGGTAACTACTATATAAACATAACCTACAAGTCAAGCACTAAACCAAAGTTTTGCAGTTTTTACTTGGAACGCAAAACACAAATAACGTGCGCAATTATAATCTCATTTTCTCCTGATTGTAATTTTAGTCACTTGTATGTATGAAATAATCTGACATCTGACAATTGGTTCAAATCACGTTGTTAGGGTAACCATTATATACGGAAAAACACAAATAATTTTAATAATATGGAATAGGAGTACAACTATACTTTTAAAATACCAACATGTAATTTATCCCAATTAAGGCTAAAATTCGTTACAAAGTGGCTAGTATATTAACATTTATTTCGTGCAAACGCATTGTGGGTTATTTATCAAGTGATATAGTAATTCAAAATTACTAATTATTGGTGAATTATAAATGAACAAATAATATTATGAATTCCAGAATTATTTTTAACCTAATCAAAATTTAATTTCGATTAACATAAATTTGTTTTTAATCATGCCAAGTCAATTCTTTATTAAATAAATATTTGCAATATTTCGAATTTCAATTTTGATTTATAGAACATACTTATTTCAATTTTCAATAAACATTATTATTATTATTATTATTAAATAATAATAATAATAATAATAATGTTTATTGAAAATTGAAATAATATTATGATTATATATACGAGGTGTGTTCAGAAAATATCGGGAATTTTCGTTTTTGATTCGTCTACATTAATATTGTCGCCTTCAAAATAGTCCCCATTGCATATTATGCACATGTGCCAGCTCTTCTTCCAATAATCGAAACACTTCTAAAACTCGATCTTTGAGATAGCCTTTAGTTCTTTCAGCGATGCGCTTTTAATGTCATCTATGCTTGCAAAACGACGGCCCTTTAAGGTTCTCTTTATTTTTGGGAATAGGAAAAAGTCAGACAGAGGCATGTCTGGCGAATATGGAGGCTGGGGCATCATTACAGTATTGTTTTTGGCCGAAAATTTTGTTCAAAATTTGACCATTTTAGAACAAATTTTGCTGCCACGCGTTTCATAGCCAAAACATTCGAAAAAATTTCATGGGATGAGCCAATCCATATATCAACATCGTCAGCGACTTCTCTGATGGTTTACAACCATTTCTTCCACTTTTTCTATGTTTTTATCGGTTGTTAATGTGCTTGTGCGTTCGGTGCGTTCGTCATCTTCAACGTCTTCACGGCCATCTTAAAAACTCTTATACCACTTGTAAACTAACTACTTATAGCAGACTCACTATAGGCCAATTCCCGTTATTTTCTGAACCCACCTCGTATATATATATATATATATGAAATTTTAATAATACGTCATAGTATATTAAGTTATGTATGAGCAAAAACTTTGTGGGAAACAATTTTAAAAATAATCCAGGAATTTTTGCTATTAAAAATTTACGTCTCAAGGAAAGTAATATGGCAACAAGCAGCAGGCGAATTTTGCATATCAAAAGCTGAGCGACTTCGGAAAAATATTATTTACATTTTACGAAGATGAAATTTATTTATATTTTAATCACGTCGAATGATGCCGCCTCATTTTTGACGGTAATTGGTCAAATTACCGCCCCGCAGTTAATCAACAAGAAGGATTTCCTGCATCAGAGCCGACAGAATCCCTAATTATAGACTAGAATGGTTTTCGTTTCGAAATCCTTATAAAATTAACCCGTGTTTGGACTTCAGACTTCACAAGAAACGATCTTCATTTTTTTAGTTTAATTTTGTCAAAAAACTTTATGGTACAGTGGTACGCACTTTGGTACACACTTTATATAAATTATTTAAAAAATACTTACCCATTTATTTATTCTAAAAAGGCATCTGGTTATTTTTAACACAAAACACTTAGGTATGAATTATTAATGTGTGTTACATAAGCGGTTAGCCTGATTGTATCGGAAATTTATTCTCGAAATATCACGAAATACGCTTTAGGCACGCGTTACAATTTGTTTCCTTATTTCCTTTACTAATTCAAAGATAAGGACAACCGACTATAATCTCTAAATAATTACATGGCGAGACGAATTTCGTATCAACGCCTTTCAAAACTACTAAACACGACATGTTGCATGGCGCAATTTGGAGGTCATTCACAAAGCTTGGAATCTCTCCAGTGCCGGGTAGCCATGGTGTGTGAGCAAACCCGAGATACACTGTCAAGCGCCTTATATAGGCAACAAGTACAGCGACAGCGGTGATAGTCGAGTATATTTTCGAAATCCACAAACGTTCTTTATTCAGTGGACCTTTGAACCTACCTTTCACTGATACTGACAGTTGTTTTTAATATCATTTCGGTGGGATGAAAGGATCACTCCTAGAATACTTGTTGATGCCTTTAGATTTAAGGATAATAACATACGTCGTAAAATAAATAAAACAATTCACAACGTAATCTGGCGAATGGAAGTCCTAAGGCTACAGATAATCTTAAACAAATTCTAACGGTGAAAACTGACGAAAATACGGAGGCAAATATTTGCGGATATCGTCGGGATGTTTATAAAGGAAATAAGAAAAAATGATGGAGGAAAATAAGGGACTAAAAGGAGCAAGACAGATCCCTAAAGATGCTACTCTATGAATATTCCATTTGACCAGTCTTATGACAATCAGTTTAGGCTCTAATAATTAGAGAGTTCTAGGCAACTTTGATTTTTAGCTGATATCCTCAAGGACGTAGACTTTTGGTTTATTTAGGTTTTAAGAAAGTTTTATCTAAGTTGATTATTTAGGATCCGGAGGTAATTAATTTATTTCAAGTTTGTAGAATAATCCTTACTTAGTAGTTGTTAAGTTAAAAGGGTAACATAATACTGTTTTTATACTAATTAAGTTTAACTTTAACATATTTATGAAAGGACAATCTTACGGCAAAGAAAAACAATACCTACAAAAATTAATACCAAAAATGAAATAACATACTCCACCCAGTAGACACCAGTCTCTATTGGTGACATATGTCTGTCTTTAAATCTCTCAGACAACTCATTGACTGCTGGTATAGTTTCTTCTGTTCTTCTTCTCAGCAAACTGAGGCATCAGAATGACTGGAACGCCGCAGCGAACAGCCACCGTGCGAAATAAAGGCCTTTACATCGGGATGACCTAAAATTTTAAGTTTTAAAAACTGCGAACAATAATTACAGAACCGTTATAAAGTTAATGAGGCAAGTTTGAGAACTTTCATTGTTTATTATTTGCTGTACAGTCAAGAAGAAAACAAAAGCTACATTCCTCTACAAGTTGCAGACAAAAGTGACACGATTTTAATTAAAGTACTTCTCGTCCGTGTCGCGATGAATGTTTACAGTGGTTTTATTATTAGTTTCTTACATAGTATATCGATTTTTGTATCATAATGTTATCATGGAGCCCAGATTAAAATATATAACACCACCAGGAGACTCTTCTAGCCATTTTTTTAAGGTCTTTGACATTTTCTCTTTTTCTTCTATAATATATCCCACCAATTTCTATATCATTGAAGGTAAACTTCTAGAAAAAGTTATGAGGTTCTTGGTGAGTTTGGTGTAGATCCCATAGGGACACTAGACACTCTGTATATTTTTGTTGGAGACTAACTCAGATAACTTGTATAGATTCATCCAAACAATATTGCATTGAGCATTAGGTTTCTTAATGACGGCAGTTCGACACGCAATTTCCTTCACAAACAAACATACGTAAAGGGTTAAGGCTTATCATGAGACGAATTGAATATTCATAGAGCGGCAATTCTACGGCTTCGACGCCTTTTTAGTGGATTTCCTTGCTGCTTTCCCTTTATTTCCTCCTCTATTATTCATTCCCTATTTCGTTTATCAACGATAGCGATAGCCTGTAGTTTTAGGAGTTAAGATAAAAGCATCAACAAGTATCCTTGGAGTGTAACGATATTAAAAACAACTTTCACGATCAATGGAGGGTAGATTCAAAGGCACCAAAAATATTTGCCGTCTTTCATATGCAAAGGCAAAGGAATGCCGGAATAAACCGTAATTGTATCGAGACACGCACATTCTCGAAATCCCGCATACGACGTTTCATCTCTTTATAGTCGCATCCACCTTTTATAAACCGACCCAACCCCAACCCCCCCAAACACGGAAATATCGGCTTTGCATCCGCCAATAGGGACGAGAACCTTTGTGGATCTCGGCTCCGTATTCAATATTAACATAATGGTGTAGGTCAGTATTATCTCTATTGATTTGGGAACATCAATAATTCGGGCGATGAGGTAGCTCTAAATCAACAAGAGTTGAGTTTAAGGATTATCAATAAGGATTAATACTAATACTAAAACATGTTTTTATGAATATGTGGTATATTTATCTAAAAACTAAATAAAACAGTCTATAAAATTTGTATTAATTTATCTTTACCTTCCTACTGCTGCTTAGGAACAATTTCAGCATTGTTTTTAAAACATAAACAACGATATAAAGAGTCAAAGAAACAATTAAAATAAGGAAGGATATCACATCTAATAAATAGTATTGGTAAAAGGGCATATTGACAGCTGCGGTTCTCATATGTGGCGCCCCCTTGTGTCGAGCAACATACTCCACCCAATATATGGCTGTGTCCATAGGGGACATGGGTCTGTCTCTGAACCTTTCAGATAACTCCTTGGCTTGTTGGCGGAACCTAAAATGAAAACAATGTTAAAATATCAAATTTTTTAATTTAATTATCTCGATAAAAAATATTTTAGCATAAAAGAGTATCTATTGCTTGAAGAAAAAAGTTCTTAGTAGAAGAAGTATAGTTCTCTTGAAAACAAATACAAAATCTCTTGAATATGCTTTTGTAGCAAGACAAATTTTCATTCTTAGAAAGTTCATAAGTTTTTCAGTTAAGAGATGCAGTTTTCTTGTTAAAATCCCATTTTTTTGGGCAAAAAACCTTTTATTCGTTCAGAAGAAATATTTTTGGTTCTTGTACTAATAAATCGCTTGGTGTTGATTTAAGCTAAGATGTCTTACTTTGAGGATAGCACTTTCTTTAACGCTTTGCTTATGGATTCTTCGGTGGCCTCGCTGAGATGCAGAATTACTCCGCCACCCACAGATTCCAGGGCTTTCGCGTTTGTAAATTGGTCACCAAATTGAGGCATCACTATAACTGGTACACCACAGTGAACTGCTTCAGTCACGCCCAAAAGACCGCCGTGCGAAATAAAGGCTTTTACGTTCGGGTGACCTGAAAAATATAAACATGTAAACAAGTCACGGAAAAATGTGTGCCTAAGTGACTTAAGTATACTTAAGCCTATAGGCTTAGACTTAGCATTTTCGTTGCCTCATTTTAAATACATATTTAAGAGACAAAACGCCTTGCTGATTTTTTTATGACGTCGAGCAAATAAGAGCCAGTCGTTTTTAATAATCTGCGTTAACAGTTGCGAAGTGAAGGCGTTTTGTTAATAAAAACAAAAAAGCGCTGGTTATATAATTAATGGAGCAAGTTTACACGACTCTTTTCTTCTTGCTCTACTTATTTTCCATATTATTTTCTGCACAATCGGGAAAATACAATGCGCTACTAAAGGGTTTTATTGTCTTTGGAAATGTTCAGCGAAAGTTTGTTTTATAAATGTTATTATAATGCATATAACCCGAAATAAATGTCCATTATACACTGTTAAAAATTTCTATTGTAATTTTACTTTTGTACAACAAATTACAATAAAAATATTTAGTAATTTACGAATGACGGTATTGTAAATATACTGCGAAAAAAAACAGCAATTTTCTTAGTTTCTTTAAGAAACTTTCTTGACCCATTACTGTAAAGATTAATAAAATTGAACCTTCACCTCGCCAGAGTTTTTGTTTTAAGTGCGTTCCACCAACATCAAATACCGACAGATAGCTGGACAAATAGACCTACTTTGGGTCTTATCAATGTCGGGCAATTTGGTGTATTGGAACACACCAAAAACGAAAGACACCTGAGCTTATATACTGTCCATCTAAGTCAACCGAGGCGAGATGTAAGAACATCTCACTTACATAAGATATCAAATTGGGGCATCCACTTCTGTATCATGACGTTGTCTGGTTTTCCTTCCATGGTTTCATTCTCCCATTTCCACAAAACAGTTTGCGACAATTTTCCGAAGGCCTTCAGGAATTCTTTACGCTTGTCAGTGGGGAAAGTGTGGCCTTTGATCATAGAACCTAAGCTGAAGTAAATCACACCGTCCGAAGATCCGTCAATCCACTTTTCAATGTTCTAAAACAAGAAAATGAAATAGTAAATAAATGCACATTAAAACAAAACAAATCAATTTGCTTCACAGAAAAAAAGGTGGAGATATAAAAATATTTTATATTTACGCAATTCATTCAAGATACATCACAATTATCCCACTTCTGATACATGGAAGGGGATGCAAGAAATCGCTTGCTCTTGATTTAAGCTAATATTGTAATAAAAAAAACCTACACGTAGCATACTTTTTTATAATTATATACATTTGACCTAATTTCATAAGTGTAAGATTTGATTACGATATCAACAATGTTTACCTTTAATACATAATGTATAAAATAAAAAAACTCTGTCCTCGGATCGGGTTGCCAATGGGAAAACAAATACAATTTTTTATTTTAATAATTAATTGTCAGGGACTTTTTGATCCGGGGACACACCGTATAATGATTGGTATACCTTAGGCAACTTCTTTGTTTCACTTGGCACATGAATACCTCCTATTTCAATGACATTTGGTGGATAAGACCTGGCCAAATTCAGGACTGGGTGCGTATTTAACAACATCAAACTTGTGTTGTACAAAATATTTTCCTTCTCTTCCAAATCTATCCCCCAGTGCTTCTTAGATAGCTCATTACCATGTGGGGTTATAATGTAATCGAAAGTAAAGATGCAGTATAGTTTCATTATAGTGTTTTCAACTCTTTCAATGAACGTGAGCTTGTCGGTGTAGTCCATAAAAGTTGTTGGGGTATACGCTGGGTTATCCTGGGTACCGAAGTATCTTCCATGCCAAGGCATCATTTGGCATGACGACAAACCAATCACAGGTGCCTTATATTTGTGTATAAGTCCATTTAAACAGTTGGAGTTGAAGAACTCCATTAATATGACATCAAACTTATTTTCCTCCTTGAGGAACTTTTTGAGGTTGTCATTATCATAGGCAGCCTCGCAGGACTTTCTGGCAAAGTTGCCCAAATTGTTGCTTTCGAACCACATAACTTTTCTGGACTTCGCGAGCATTTCAAAGTGTATAACCTCCTGAAAACTCCTCAAATTCTCATCAAGTCCAACATCGCGTATATTCTCCACAGCAGTCTTTTTAGGGGCATAACTAACAATCGTCAAACTGTGACCCCTAGCGGCCAAAGTCTTAAACATGGGCTCGAACACATAAAAATGGCTGGCCCCTGGATGCGGAAACAAGACTAAAATGTTTAGGGCACTAACACTGGACACCAATAAGTATAACACCAAAAAAATATTCATTTTGATGAAATTTTAATGCAGGAATGTGCATTTGTGCATATTTATATACCTACTGATATTGATACAGAAGTTGTAAATATCACGCAGTCTCAAGGTTGCTATTGAATATATCAGTGGCGGGGCAGATTTGTATTTTTTCTTGGGAGTTAAGTTTTAGATAAATTTTTATTAAATAGATTTTATAACGCTTAAAGTGTTTGTTAAGGTTAGTTTTCGATAACACTGCATTTTTTTATGAGCCGAAAGATTACAAATGTTGTTGTGAAAACAAAATAAACAATGAATCTTAATTCTTATAATGTTCTGCAATACATATTTTTAATATTTTAATTCTCATTAAAAAGATAATAAACAGATGACTCCGTTTCACAATTTTTATGAAGATACCTATTTCTTATTGTAAGTATATTTAATCAAACTCACCAAGCATTACCATTGTCTTTTGCTCAGTGTAAAATGTTTTTTCCCTGTGCTAAAGGAAGCTAAACTTCCAGATAATATTGTAATTTTTCACAGAAAGAATACAGATGAAGATTCAGGCCCTGAAGATACAGTTGTCATCAAAAACCTTCCTGGCAGAAAGCTACAGCAGAAACACTAAAGAATTTGATGAATATCATAGCAAAGATAATGTCCCATTGTCAACATCTGCATGCAGAAAAGACAGTACCAAACAATCAAAATCAAAACAAATAAGTAACAAAAGGCTATGTTGCCAAAGTTACCTGGCTGGAATCATATAATCGGTGTAATGTACGCAATTGCTTGAATAAGCTATTCATTTATTAGGCAAAATTTGCATTGTAATGATGATAGCAATTTGAAACGAACTGACAGCCTTTTAAGAATCTTATAAAAATGATACAAAATACAAAAAAAAGCCCTGGTAAACTAATGTACAGTGGCCCTACGATAAATTATTTTTAGCAAAGATAACCTAAAATGGTAGTTGGAAATGACACTATTCTTTTAAAAGAACAACCTCAAACTGTAAATATTACAATAATATTTTCTTAATAATATATGTTTACTATGAAGTTTAAAAAAACTGATTTTTAAACAAAAAGTTGTTTTAGTACTATCTGGGTCAAGACTTTTTTACAATTTTAATCAATTAAAAATACTATTCTAGATTTTTACGATTTTCTATATTTTTTATTATTTTTTTACTTCCATTTTTAATACACACTCTCTAAAAATTAATTAGTCAAAAATGACTAATTCAATAGTTATTATTCCAATTCTTATGTAAAATTGTCCCCTAAATCCGAAAATACTGTCAAAAATTATGAGAGTAGAGCAGTTTTCGAGATAAAGTCAATTCCATATTAAATGGAAAATTGACTATATCTCAAAAACTGCTTTACTTTTATAACTTTTGACGACATTTTCGGATTATACTGAAAATTTTACATAAGAACTGGCTATTATATCGGGAATACCATGCTATTCCATAGTATACCATGGTATAAGTGAAAAAGCATCCACTAATAACTGTAGTAATTAGTCATTTTTGAATAATTCATTTTTAGAGAGCACATTACCATATTATAAGCCATTTTACATACAATTTAATAAAAATGAGTTTATAGAAAAGTTTATAAATGTTTTTGTTTAAATAGGGTATTTTTTACAGTATGTTCTGATAAAAAATTCTCCATATGTACTTAAATGCAACCAAAAACATGATTGAGAATATTTGGCAACTAAATAAATTCGTCTATTATTATCAAAAGCCTTGACACCACAAAATAATTTGATGACAAAAGAATCTAAATACAATGATATACGTAATTTTAACCTAATTATGGTTTAATTAAATTATAATTTATAAATTAAAAATGTACCTAGCTATTAATGTATTCCAAAAAATAAATCATAATTTTGAACTTGGGATACCACTGACATTTTATTCCAAAAAAATAAAAATTATTATCCGATAATTTATGTAATGAAGTGTGAAGTATTTCTCAATTAGTAAAAGGGTTATTTGATAGGCGTGTTAATGCACAGTGTGATGAAGAATGTACTTTTTAATATGTTTGCTTTAAAATTGTATTTAGGTACATTTCTAAAACATTTACCTTAGGTAGCTTCTTTGGTTTACTTGGTACATGAATACCACCAATTTCGATTACGTTTGGTGGGTAAGGCCTGGCCAAATTCAAAGCAGAATGGGTATTTACCAACATCAAACTGGAATTATACAAAATATTTCCGTTTTCTTCTAAATCCATCCCCCAGTGCTTCTTAGATAGCTCATTACCATGTGGGGTTATAATATGATCGAACATAAAAATGCTGAATATATGCATTACTGTATTTTCAAGTCTTTCGATGAAAGTGAGTTTGTCAGAGTAGTCCATAAAGACGCTGGGAACGTACGCTGGGTTATCTGGTATACCGAAGTATCTACCATACCATGGGATAATTTTGCAGGATGATAAAGCAATAACAGGTGCTTTATATTTGTGTAAAAGCCCATTCAAGCAGTTGGAGTTGAAATATTCCATCAATATCACATCAAACGAATTATCTTCTTTGAGAAACTTTTTGAGGTTGTCATTTTCAAATGCTGACTCGCACGACTCTGCAGCAAACTCTTTTAACCTTACCGGTCCTTCCCACATAAACCTCCTCGATCCTTGCAACATCTCAAAAGTGATAATCTCCTTAAAACTCTGCAAACTCTCATCCAATCTCACATCGCGAATATTCTTCACGACAGTATTTTGAGGCAGATAACTCACTATGGTCAAATTGTGACCCTTATCGGCCAAAGTCTTGAACATGGGCTCGAAAACCTTAAAATGACTGACGCCTGGGTGCGGAAATACCACCAAAATATTAAGGGCACTAACACTGGATGTACAAAAAAATATCATGAAAAAAAACTTCATGGTTAAGCGTTGTTCTGTCCCCTAAACTATTTGGCTTCAATTCCACTACTGATATATCGAGAGATTTGTCCCTACTAAAGTGGGTACAGTATCCTAACAGTACGCGCCAAATTGTATGTACAGGCACTTTCAATTGTTTTGACACACTTTTGTAGATCACCTTTTAAAAGCAGTGGAGTGGTGGATTAAAGTCCCTGGTGATAAAAAAATACTATAATTTTATTTTATTTGTTAATTGTAATTTTTTTATATAATATTTCTTAAGGGTTTTTATGTTTTTAAAATTTCTTTTGACAATTTATATACAGGGTATCCCATAAATTACTGTGTACCAGAATAAAACCACAGATAATATTACGATTTAACCAAATTTATCATGGTGCAAAAGGTTAAAACAACCAATATATGTACATTTGTCAAAATTAATTAAGTTTGTTTTCGATTTTATTAAATAACTAAAGTTTTTCACCACGAAAAATTTAAATTTTCTAAAATTATGGATGTAGATTTCTTCTACGACGCATTGCATTTTTTTATGAAAATTATTGTTTTGTGGGTAATTTATTTATGTTATATTATCCAGAAAAAATGTTTGTATTTTATATACCATAAAAAATACAGGGTGTTTGTAAAACTACTGTCATAAAATACATCATGCTTTTTTGCTATTTTTAACACACCCTGTATATAGTATTACAATTTTTTTAATTAAATTAACGAAACTATTAAACATTTGTACATTTTTCTGTGTCTATTAATTTTATCTTAACATAACTATAACAACTTTTATCTAAACTTAAGTACAATTGTAGATATCAATTAATTGTTTTTAAAATCTTTATTTACAAATCATATTTGCTTTGGTCTTTATATTTTTATAATTGATTGCAAATTTGTTCAAAATATTTTTATTAATATTTTATATTTATAGTTTTTAATAAAAACTTTTTACGATTAAAAATTTAAACTTTATTTTAATATAAATGGACTATATTTTTACTTTATACAATATTAGCGAATATTTTTTTGCATAAAAAATACAATAAAACAAATAATTTGATTTAAATTTCATATTATTTAATTTGGTAAGAAAAGTATATAAATTCATTTTTATTATTAGTAAGATTTTAGCATATTTGTCCTTGACAGATATTTGTAAAAAAACTATTATTAATTTATAATAAAGCGTGTTATTCTTATAAAACAAATTACACTATAATTATAATTGTATACACAGCATATTTAATAACAATGTCTTGCATATTTTATTGTTTTTATTTTTAATTTATATAATCATATTCTTATCTAGGGTCATCATAAAATATAAATATATCACCATAAATAATAAATTTTTAGATTTAGGGTTATTACACCATGAGTTTGCACTATTTTATTAAATATAAAAAAACACTCTGTATTGATTTTTCGAAAAAAAAGATGGTATAATGAGTTATCTAAAGAAATAAAAAAGTGACTAATCAAAAAGTTTTTTTGTTCATATCATTCGTATTTTTTTTTCGTAATTTGAAAAATTAATGTTTTTTTGGAAAAACTGAAACATTTTATAGAATATCACGTTTTTTTGTATTTTTTTTTAATCAAGTTTATAAACAAAAAAATCTCGATACACCATTCAGCAACATTCTTTTTTTAATTTTTGGTGAGGTTAATTTGAAAAATGGTTATAAATACTATATAATATGAAAATATTATACGCTTCAAAAAAATTTACCTTGGATAATTTTTTATTTTGTCCCACGTGTATACCTCCAATTTCAATAACATTTGGAGCTAAAGGTCTGGGTAGATTTATTGTAAAATGTGTATTTACTAACAGTAGACTAGAATTCCTTATAATCTCTTGTAGAGGTTTTAGCTGGGTAGCAACATTTTTCTTGATGATTTCATCCTCATTTGAACTTACTTTGTAAGCATAATAAATCTTTTGAAACGTTGTAAGAGCAAAGTTTTCTACTCTTTGTAGAAACGTCATTTGGTCTGAGAGAGGCAAAGATGGGTTTGGTATGTAGGAAGGATTATCAGGGTTTCCAAACCTTCCATTGGTCCAGGGTATGATTGTACATGTCGAAAAACCTATGAGAGGTGCCTTAAACTTTTCACTGAATACAGAGAAACAATCACTGTTAAAAAATTCCATTAAAATCAAGTCAAACTTTTCGTCACTCTTGAATAACGCTTGAACGTTATGTTGTGCCAAATTTTTCTCACAACTATCGTACCCCATTTTCTCCAGGAAAAAAGTGTCCGACCACCTCGAAATTCTGTCATCGTAACGCATCATCAAGGTTATTTTACCCTCCTGTTGGGTTTTATCGCCAACCAGAGCTACATCGTTATAGTTTTTCATAGGTTCATCCAATGGAAAGTAACTTATCACTGTCACGTTGTGTCCCTTCCTTGCTAATTCCTTCACTAGTGGTTGAAACACGTTGAAGTGGCTTTTTCCTGGATGCGGAAATACCGTCAGTATGTTATAGGAGTTAACCTTCGCAAAAACTAAGAGTACTAGCCCGAAACTTAAGGAATACATTGTCAACAACAAACGTTAACTGAAACTAACTGTAAGTTAAGAAGTAAATATAATTATAATTTATTTTAAGTCAATAAATATAGTAAGTCCGAATTATAAACAAGATAACAGAGATAAAGGAATGTTTACTATACAGGGTAAAGGTGATTTCCTCTTAAAATGACAAGACAAAATTTTCTACATCTAATACTTTCTTAATCCTTAGTAGAAACTTTGTTTTGTAAATAAAGCTCTTTTAAAACTATTAATATTAAGATAAAAGTTGTCAACATAATTGATATTTATACCTGAAACAATATTTGCTAAGATAAATGTCAAAGTTGAGATTTGGCTATCTTCCTTTTTCGGAATTTTCGAAATTTATTGCAAAAATACTTTTTTCTTCATCAATTGATCTTAAGATCATCATTTGGCAACATTGGTTTTAGTAAGAAACTACCTTTATTGTCACATAAAAGTTACCATGTAACAAATTTTTTTGCATGTATTATTAATACATTTCTAGTTCGTGGTACACTAAGGTACAAGCCAAATAATGCAATACACCAAGATCCCCAGTATTAACAACAGTAAAGCTTAATTTATATAAAAATTATTGTGTTTTACCTTTGGTAGAGACTTCATTTTTCCAATATGAAATCCACCAACCTCTATAACATTGGGTACAAGAGGTCTGGGTAGGTTTAATGTAAAATGCGAATTAACCAATAATAAACTTGAGTTCCATAAAATTTCTTGTAAAGCTCTAACATTAGCGCCAAAGTATTCCTTTAAAAGTTGATTTTGCTTATAAACAACATAAAAATTGAAGTACATTTTTTGCATGGTGGATATAATAAAATTCTCCACCCTTTCCACAAATGTCATTCTATCGGAAAACATAAATAGGTTGTTGGGTATATAGGCTGGGTTATCAGGATTTCCGAAACGTTTATTAGACCAACTCATGATTGATAGAGATGATATTCCTATAATTGGTGTGTTATATTTATAAGCAAAACCCAGGAAACAATCACTGTTGAAGAACTCTGTTATAACTAAGTCAAAAGTATGACTCTCATTCAGAAAATTCTGCACATTTTTCTGCGCAAGACCACTCTTGCAATTATGTTCTGCCATGGTAGCTAAAGAGAATACAGAATTGTATCTTGCCAGTCTGCCTTTGTATTGGTTGACGAACATTTTTCCAGTCTTCAAGTTATCTTCAGCATCTAATAACACTTCTCTGTAATTACCCATAGTTTCTTTCAGTTCAAAATGGGTAATAACCGTCACATTATTACCTCTCTTAGCCAGTTCTATCATTAGTGGTTCAAAGACAAAGTAATGGCTTCTTCCTGGATAGGGAAATATACCCAAAATATTAAAACTGACCACATTGGAAAGTAATGTGTTAAACCAAATGGCATTTATCACTTGCATGTTTACATGCATCAATTACACTTATTGAATCTAAATTTGTTTTGTTTACTGTACCATATATATTAAATTATTGTCTTATCGGTTATTTTTTATGATGAATGTGTGCCAATAATAAAATTATGTCTTTGGGTGATAAAAGGTTGTTAGTATACAGAATTGTTATAAATAAGTGTTTATCTCTTACCTTTGGTACTTTTTTTGCTTTTCCAATATGTATTCCGCCAATCTCAACCACATTAGGGACCAAAGGTCTGGGTAGATTCAATGAAAAATGTGTGTTGGTCAAAACTAGGCTAACATTGTAAATTCCTTCCTTAATACTGGGCATTCTTCTGTTAAAATAGCTATTTATTAACCTTTGATCATTGGCATTTATAAAAACATCGAAGTAAAATTGATGCCAGATGTAAGCTATAGTATTCAGAACCCTATCGCCAAAAGTCATTACATCAGAGTATCTCATAAGGTTGTTAGGGATGTATGACGGGTTTGAAGGGTTGGCAACCCTTTTGGAGGTCCATGGCATCAATGTGGAAGAGGTTATACCTATCAGAGGTGCTTGGAAGAGTAAATGAAAGCCTATGTGACAGTCAGAGTTGAAGAACTCTGATACAATAATATCAAAGTTGTGTTGTTTCTTTTTGCGTATTAAATCTTGTACGCCCGGCATTTTAAGGCTCGTTTCACATGATATATTAGCCATTTCACCTAGTAGAATAGCTTCCCTGAAGCTAGAAAACTTATTATCTGCTATTTCTTGCATATCTACTACTTCCTTCATGGGTGTTACTTCCCCAACCAAGTCTATATCAGTGTATCTATCTATTGGAACTTTTAACTTATAATGGCTTAACACAGTCACATAGTGCCCTCTATCAGCCAACTCCTTCATCAGAGGCAAAAAAACATCAACATGACTCTTTCCAGGATGCAGAAACACACCAAGTATATTATAGCAGCTCACAATGTTTAACAAAGAGATCATAACCAAGCACTTTAAGTGAAACATTTTAATTCATAATATTATTGTGTTATGAGTAAGGTGAGTTGGCTCTAGACTGCGCTAGTAGATTTATTTTCGTGTTTTCAATGCCATGGCACAAGCTAATTGAATTAGTCAGATGATGTTGGTCGTTCACATGCTCTATTCAAACACTCAAACAATGTTTAAAAACAACTCTGGAATGTTTTGAACGATTGTTGGTTTGGACTATTTTTGTTAGTCATTTAGATTACAATTTATCGTTTAATTAAGTTTCATAATGCAAGAAAAAACAATTCTATTTTTTTAATCACCCTAATATATAATCCCTTAACAAAAGTATATCTTGTCAAGGACCCATCATTAACTTTATTAACTCAAAGTCATATAACCAATCCCCTCACTCAAAAATAATTACTTTAATACCCCAGGCAGCAATGAGCTATAATTAATGTCATCCAGATGTACCCCTGCCTTATTGTCAGAGCAGTAAGAACTAAAATGAATTTATATTGTCTCCGCATACAGCCTTACAACCATATTTATCATTTTGTTTAAGTATTCCGAACCCATTTTTTCCGCTCGGAAGTTTAAGCCGCTGACGAATAACTGTCTCTTGTCGCGTCTGACGAAAAATAAATCATCCAGACATACGCAAATTTCGCATACGTGTTCGGTAATACACTTGCGAGTTTTTTAAAGCTGTATGAAGATGTCACAGCGGGCTTTTAGACACAATAATTTATTTAGATTAATATTTTAGTACAAATAAATGAAGCTATTTTAAAAATTACCATGTCTTAGTTACACAATGTGAGCAAAGTTATTCTTTCACCAAAAAATACAATTTTTTTATTGTATACCCTTAAAATAATTTATATCGACAGGATAATGTATACCTAATCTATTTTTCTATAATCTTTAACATATACGCCATTTTAGCCATTTAGCTTGTTATCTTTAATAATTAAAGATAACAAGCTAAAATGAAAACAATCAAGAATTGTTCTTGCCTTTATTTTTTTATAGGGAGGAGAAATCTTTTTTATCTTGATTTGAATTAAGCTTGTTATCAAAAAATTTCTATTTTAGCTTCTGATCTCTTAAATTTGTTATTATTTTTACTTGATATTAATTAAGCTTGTGGTTAAATAAGCTTATCTTTATTTTAGCATAACATCTATTAAACTTGTCTTTATACTAGCTTGTAATTAGTAAGCTTGTTATCATTGATTCTTGAATTTATTTTGTCTTGTCATCTCTTAAGCTTGTTAATATTTTCGCCATCCATTAAGCTTCTAGTCAAATAAGCTTATCTTTATTTTGGCATATCATCGATTAACCCATTATCTTGCCTTTATTTTAGTTTGTGTTTGTTTTAGCTTGACTTTATTTAAGCATGTCATCTCTTAAGATTGGTATTATTTTAGCTTGTCATCATTTCAGCCTGTCATCAATTAAGCTTGTAGTCAAATAGGCTTATCTTTATTTGAATAAATCATAGATTAAGCTTGTCATCATTAATTCTTGCTTTTATCTTAGTTTATTTTTATTTTAGCTTGTCATCTCTTAAGCTTGATATTATTTTAGGTTGTTATCATTTTAGCTTATCATTAGTTAGGCTTGTACTCAAATAGACTTATCTTCATTTTAGTATATTATCGATTAAGCTTGTCTTCGTTTTACCATGTAAGCTTGTTAATATTTAAGCCTGTCATCATTTTAGCTCGTCATCAATTAAGCTTGGGGTCAAATAAGCTTATCTTCATTTTAGCATATCATCGATTAAGCTTGTCTTCATTCTAGCGTGTAATTAATTAGGCTTGTTTTGATTTTAGCTTGTCATCATTAATTCTTACTTTCATTTTAGTTTTTCTTTATTTTGGCTTGTCATCTCTTAAGCTTGTTAATATTTTAGCTGGTATCATTTTTGGCTTATCTTTATTTTAACATATCATGGATTAAGCTTGTCATCATTAATTCTTGCTTTTATCTTAGTTTATTTTTACTTTTGCTTGTCATCTCTTGAGCTTGTTATTATTTTAGCTTGTCATCATTTTAGCTTGTCATTAGTTAGGTTTGTACTCAAATAGGCTTATCTTCATTTTAGTATATTATCTTCATTTTAGTATATTATCGATTAAGCTTGTCTTCGTTTTAATGTGTAATTAATAATTAATTATTAATTAATTAATTATTAAGCTTGTCATTAATAAATGTTGCCCTTATTTTAGTTTATATTTGTTTTAGCTTGTTTTCGTTTTAGCTTGTCATCTCTTAAGCTTGATAATATTTTAGGTTGTTATCATTTTAGCTTGTAATCAGTTAGGCTTGTATTTAAAAAGGCTTATCTTCATTTTAGTATATTATCGATTAAGCTTGTCATCTCTTAAGCTTGTTATTATTTTTGCTTGTCGTCATTTTAGCTTATCATTAGGTAGGCTTGTACTTAAATAGGCTTATCTTCATTTTAGTATATTATCTTCATTTTAGAATATTATCGATTAAGCTTGTCTTCGTTTTACCATGTAAGCTTGTTAATATTTAAGCTTGTCATCATTTTAGCTCGTCATCAATTAAGCTTGTAGTCAAATAAGCTTATCTTCATTTTAGCATATCATATTTTAAGGTTATCTTTATTTTAGCTTGTCATCTCTTAAGCTTGATATTATTTTAGGTTGTTATTATTTTAGCTTTTCATTATTTTGATTTAAAAAAATAAAATGTGTTACTTTTAGTAGTGTATCTTTTTAATTGATAATAATTATAATTATTAAACAGAGATATATCTTAAATTTGGACGTTCGAAAACAATACCCATAAATTACGTTAAAGTTTAATTTTTTTAAAAGTCATGCTGCCAAATAATAAATTAAAGGAAAAATCAATTTCAACTATTGGTCGAATATTGAAATTTATATTTCCGTAGTAAATTTAATAAACTACTGATTATATGTTGAACTGGCAAGAATCCAAATCGCAAGAGTCGCTGATATAATTTAAGTATTTTATCGAGAAAGAAACAATATGGTCTTAAAAAATATTACTCAATTGGGTTTTTACTTTTTTAATTAAATAATTAGTAGTAACTTTCATAATCATAAAATAGGACTCCTTCTACTTATAAATTCTGAAAAACATTAAACAATACCTTAATGATCCGATGACTTGAATGACTATTTATTGAACTATTTGTCGTAGTTTTTAATAAAAAATTAAACGCCTTTCTATGAAATTAAAAATAAAATAAGACAGGATGATTAATTGTGGCGTAGACAAGGAAAAATTCAATAACGGACTTTTTGCAGTAAACTTCTTTCGCACTTTCAAAGAATGTCGATATTTTTACTATCAATTTTAATTAAATTCCTTTTAAGGATTTGCATAAAAAGACGATTTCGAAGTGAGTGAAATTTTAATTTATCACGTTTTTGTTGATTTTTAATCGAATTTATATTGCTGCGACAAAGTACCTACAAATAATCAGAAAACCATCATTTATCATTTTTGTACAAATAGCCCAGACTCCCCTAAAACAAACAGACTGATACTTATTAACTGCTCGAAGCCATTTCAGGGTAACTATTTCCCCCAGTCAAAAATAATTGTTTTAATACCAAAATTGATTGACTGCACAGAAAACGCAAAAAGAAACATTTGGTACAGGCAGAACAACTGCATCAAAATTGAAACCAATATTATTAATTTGATAACCAAGCCAATTACACATGTATGTATATTATAGATCAATAAAGCCAAACACGTGTTATTCTCCCAATACATATATTCCACATATATCGGTGTGCATGGTTAATATGGCTGCTGCAACATTCATGTCTTTGATCTCAATAAACCAGCAAGGTGTTCCAAGCAGTCCATTCGAGCTAAACAATGCGCACTACATATCTCCAACTCAATTAATAATTATCGATCACTCATCGCATCATGCGCTTTCCTATAAATGACGTGCATTGTCGTATTTGTTCATTTATCAGGCTTACCAAATTCAGACATGGTAATTCATATATGCATGTATCTATGCTGGTTGGTATTATCATCGGAATTTAAGTACACAAACCAAATTGATGTAAAGGAACTGCATCCAAGGAGAAAATCATTTTGTCAAGCATATCTCTATACACTGATAAAAATAATGTCTTAAAAGAAATGAAATCTTCTTCGGAAGAATGAATGAAGAAAACGTTTTTCAGCTCAAAAAAATGGGATTTTAACAAAAAAGCTCCATCTCTTTATTGAAAAGCTTAGGAACTTGCTAAGAAAGAAAATTCGTCTTCTGGAGTTTGTTTTCAAGAGAAGTATACTTCTTCCACTAAGAACTTTTTTCTTCAAGCAATAAATACTCTTTTATGCGAAAATCAAGAGAGTTGACTACTCCTTTTTTTTCAGGTTAGACAAGATGTATAAACTTCAACTAAACCGTTGGGCTAAACTAAAATGCATGGAGGGTTAATGTTTAGTACGTTGGTAATGAATTGGAAAGGCATAATGACGAAAGTAGAAGTTATTTCATTATCCTTATGAAGGTATAATACGTAATAGGTTAGGGAAGAATGGTGGGGTATCTTTACGGGTTTTCTGGTCGTCACGGTTTCGGGTTTTCCGTCTTTCAATGTTGGGGGGCCCAAAGTTTTGTCGGCCAGCGCGCGTCAACTTGAAATTACGGCCGCATTCAACAGACCGCGAATATAAAATCACCGCATGGGTTTCGGAAACTTTACCTATAACAATTACTGTTAGTCTGCACTCGAGCAGACGGGGAGGGAGCGCGGAAAACTTTGTTGCATTCAGCAGAAGTTGCTTCGATTTTAACACGCCTATTCCATTTCAAGTGCTGGCTGGCGACAAGTTCCCCGAAATTTCATAACGCCGCGCGGCAACATGAAATGTCGTTTTGCAATTAGTGAGGAATATTCCCTCTCGATTCATATCCATTTCATATTTTACCCCTTTATTAAAACATTTCCTCGCCCTTCCAAAACTGCTTTTATTAGTTTCTCTGCATTGCCAGGGCCTTACTACGGGTTGTAGAACTTAACCCACATACCTTGGACCTCTTACGGATTGTCTAATGGAAATCAGGAATTTTTTCACCAATCATAAAGCCACCCCAC